AAAGGTTTCTCCATGCGATTTTAACTTGCATTACTCTTATTGTAAAGGAGATTAGACAATTCTTCATATGTTAAAGAGTTCATATGTTTAAGAACTATTGGAATTTTTCCTTTTCTACAAGCAACACTATAGGAAAAAATTCCCTAATATCTATAAGTATGCTTTTGGTTTTTCACTGTGTTTAGCCTTTATACAGTGATTTTTGCAGGAGCTCTTTGTATAATTTCAAAATTAGCCTTTTTATATAATATAAATTTCAAATTTTTTCCTAGTTTGTCTTTGTTCTTTAATTTTGTTTCTGTGTTTTTACCACATAGATGTTTACTTTTTTAATTAATTCATTTATTTTGATTGGAGGCTAACTACTTTACAATATTGTGGTGGTTTGTGCCATACATCAACATGAATCAGCCATGGGTGTACATGTGTCTCACCATCCTGAAACTGCCTTCCACTTCCCTCCCAACCCTATCCCTCTGGGTTGTCCCAGAGCACCAGCTTTGGGTGCCCTGCTTCATGCATTGAATTTACACTCAAATTTATTAAACTTTTCTTTTCTTTTATGGCTCCCAGGGCAAGCGTCACACTTTGAAAGATCTATCCAGTTGTAAATTTGCATAAACATTGTCCCATAGTTTCTTTTGTGAAGTTCAAAGATTCATGTTTTATATTTTCAAATATTGTTCTCAGTTCAGTTCAGTTGCTTAGTCATGTCTGACTCTTTGTGACCCCATGGACTGCAGCATGTCAGGCTTCCCTGTCCATCACCAACTCCCAGAGCTTGCTCAAACTCATGTACATCGAGTTGGTGATGCCATCCAACCATCTCATCCTCTGTCGTCCCCTTCTCCTCCTGCCTTCAATCTTTCCCAGCATTAGGGTCTTTCCAAATGAGTCAGTTCTTCACATCAGGTAACCAAATTATTGGAGTTTCAGCTTCAGCATCAGTCCTTCCAATGAATATTCAGGACTGATTTCCTTGAGGATTGACTGATTTGATCTCCTTGCAGTTCAAGGTGCTCTCAAGAGTCTTCTCCAGCCCCACAGTTCAAAAAGTATCAATTCTTCGGTGCTCAGCTTTCTTTATAGTCCAATTCTCACATCCATACATGACTACTGGAAAAGCCATAGCTTTGACTAGACAGACTTTGTTGGCAAAGTAGTATCTCTGCTTTTTAATATGCTATCTAGATTGGTCATAGCTTTTCTTCCAAGGAGTAAGTGTCTTTTAATTTCATGGCTGCAATCACCATCTGCAGTAATTTTGGAGCCCAAGAAAATGAAGTCTCTCACTGTTTCCATTGTTTCCCAATCTATTTGTCATGAAGTGATGGGATCAGATGCCATGATTTTTGTTTTTTGAATGTTGACTCTTAAGCCAGCTTTTACAGTCTCCTCTTTCACTTTCATCAAGAGGCGGTTTAGTTCCTCTTTGCTTTCTTCCATAGGATGGTTTCATCTGCATATCTGAGGTTACTGATATTTCTCCCAGCCATCTTGATTCCAGCTTGTGCTTATATATATGATGCCTAAGATTGCTTAAGATTCCAGCTTATATGATGTATTCTGCATGTAAGTTTAATAAACAGGGTGACAATATACAGCCTTGATGTACCCCTTTCCCAATTTGGAGCCAGTCCGTTGTTTCATGTCCGGTTCTAACTGTTGCTTCTTGACCTGCACACAGATTTCTCAGGAGGCAGGTCAGGTGGTCTGGTATTCCCATCTCTTTACGAATTTTCCACAGTTTGTTGTGATCCATGCAGTCAAAGGCTCTGGTGTAGTCAATAAAGCAGAAGTAAGTGTTCTTCTGGAACTCTGTTGCTTTTTCTATGATCCAACAGATGTTGGTAATTTGATCTCTGGTTCCTCTGCCTTCTCTAAATCCATCTTGAACATCTGGACCTTCTTGGTTCATGTTCTATTGAAGCCTGGTGTGGAGAATTTTAAGCATTACTTTGTTAGCATGTGAGATAAGTAGAATTGGGTAGGAGTTTGAACATTCTTTGGCATTGCCTTTCTTTGGAATTGGAATGAAAACTGACCTTTTCCAGTCCTGTGGCCACTGCTGAGTTTTCCAAATTTGCTGACATATTGAGTATAGTTCCTTCACAGCATCATCTTTTGGAATTTGAAATACCTCAACTGGTATATTAGGTATTTATACAGTTATAGAATATGCAGTTTAAACATTTTTGAATCTGATGTGCACATAGCCCAACACCATTTATTAAGTAATATATTTCCCCCCACATATTGAAAATAGTAATATCAATATTATATACTAAATTCTCTTATGTATTTGTGTCTAATTTTAGACTTGTTTTTTAAAATTCATTAATGACTTTTCATGCACTAGGGTATTAATAATGTATAATATTAACTTGATCTTAATGACTACAAGCTCCAGTCCAAAATTGCGGTAATATGCTAGTTAACTCAAATATCTGTATGTGGCACAACAGTAAATGTATACTTGGTTCCCTGCCATGAGAAAATAAATTGCACCTGGCTGGACTCTGGGGCTGGCATTTTAAAGAAGACACTATCCACATCTGTGATGACATATTAGTCTTGTTAGACTTGTGCTTCCCGTAAATTCTTGTATATTAATTACATCTGAACAGTTCAGAGGAATGGTCTTGTTTTATCCCTGAAAGTCTCCTGTTAATTTCTGAGAACTGTCTTCCCACATACTAGCCAGACAGGACTATTAAAAGGAGCTTGTGGGAGTTATGATTTTGCTTTAGCTATTCCTGAAGCAGAGCTTGTTGCAGGAATTGTTACTCTTCTGAAATGATTTATTGCTTACTATTTTCCATCTAGAAGGGCTTGAACAATTCCAAACATAGAGTATTAGCATGGCCAAATGAAACTGGGTGAAGGGTACACTTAGTGGATGCTCTATTCACTTAAAATCCATCCCAAGGTAAAGTTGATTGGACCACAGAATAATCACTCCAGCCACACTTTCTGATTCATAATTTTATCTCATGGTTTTTACTTCTACGGTATCTTCAGTGTCACTTTTGGATCTTTTAAAGCACTATAACTCTCCCTGGTGGCAATTATTGTACGTTAAGTGCCTGTATAAAGCAACCCTAAGACGTCTCGCATGTCACCCTTGGGTTACTTCACCCAAGTCATTGCACAGGATGAGGGGTTGCTGTTCCTTGCTATTTTGAGCCCTGGGTACTGAGTTATTCTGTGCTGCTTTCCCTAAACTCAATCGGGCCTTCGTAAAAAGTTCTTTTATTATCTAGATACAGGGGCCATCTCATTCCCATTGTGACCCAGTTCTTGTTGTAAAAACAGGAAATTATAAGCCTCAGATATTTTAATACTGAAAAAGACATATACACCTCCATTCTTTGGTTTAGCACTAATAAAGCATAATGTTAAAGTCATGGTCTGTATCCTTTAATTAGCAGTTGTCAAAAAAAACCACATAGGAAGGTAGAACATTTGTTAATTCTAGTATATGAAAAGAGAGGGCTATACTCTGCAAAACATTTCAGAGTAAGTTGAAAAAGGTGAATCTGAAAATGTGTATAAGACATTTCTATGGTAGACTAATAATATAGCTCCAAATCTACACTGGGGTGAAACCCACATGATGTCTGTCAGCTTCTATCCATTTTGTCTGTTAACATCTTAATGTTTTCTAGAACTAATAATAAACTCTTTGTTATGTTCACTATTTAGAAATATAGCACAGCTAATATAAACAAATTTTGAGTTTAAAATGTTTTTTAATATACTCCTGATTATGAAACAAAACATATAGACTCTTACAGTTGTATAGAAATAGTACTATTGCATATATTCTGATACATTTTCACAGCTAAGAAGGATCATGCTTACTTGAGTTTTGGTGATGAGAAAACTGAGTCTCAAAGACTCATGTACTCTTAAGTGCCCATGCACTCTTAAGTAAGACGAAGTAAGGTGATGAAAGCCTAAAATGGAAGAATAAAACCAACAAGAAGATGGAGAAATCTGAGAAATATGAGAGACTAAAATTATGAAGTGGTTTCAGTCTGGAAATACTTAAGTTTTGAGCATCTATTACTAGAAAGTTTTGAATTTTTATGGAAAAATTGCCATGATCTTCACTAATTCCCAGAAATCTGGATTTAGAAGGTATACTTAGTATTCTGAAAAAGTCTTATGTTTAGAGAGGAAGACAGGAGAGAAAGAAGGAAGGAAGGAGCAAAGGAGAGAGGGATGAAAGGAAGAAAGGAAAGGAAAGAAAAGGGAGAAAAAAAGGACTTGAGGTAGGTTGAGGAGGACTCCTAACATAAGTAACTGTTCCTGAACATACTCTCCTGCATTTGAAGCAAGATGATCCTTGATGTAAAGTGATAGATGTATACACATACACACAAGCACACACACACATCGTATCTTTACCAAATCAGGAGATTTTAGCATTAGGGAAATGGGTGTTTATTAAGAACACACAAAAACAATATCATATGAGATCATCACAATCAGTGTATACTTCAGATGAAGACATTACTGGTCTAAGAATAGATGTATTTGAGCCTGAGTTAAAATCATATGGCAAATGTGTTTTCATCTGTCACTCCCTACAACTGAGCACCAACTCTGAAGGCCAAATCAAAAGGAGTTGGCCACTGTGCCCATTCCCCAGTTACTGGCTGGCTCCAACACATTTTCTATGTTTTTTGAGGACATATTTAGTATGACAAAAATCATGGGCAGAGATTCAGCAACAGGAAGAAGCACAGCACACAGGGCGGGGGCAGGTGGAGATGACACAGGTGGGCCGATAGCAAGTGGTGTGGCAGGAGACCCGGCCACACACTGGGCGCAGGCAGCAGCTCGGGCGGCAGCAGCTGGAGATGTGGGAGCAGGTGGGCAGGCAGCACACAGACTGACAACACCGGGGCCTGCAGCAGCTGGAATCACAGCAGGAGGGGCGGAGACAGCTAGAAGTGTAGCAGGTGGGGCGAGAGCAAGTGGGCTAGCAGCACACAGGCTGGCAGCACTGGGGCTTGCAGCAGCTGGAGATGCAGCAAGTAGGCCTGCAGCAGCTGGAACTACAGCTGGACCCACAGCAAGAGGGGCAGCAGCAGCTAGAGATGCAGCAGGAGGGGCGACAGCAGATAGGCTGGCAGCACTGGGGCCTGCAACAGCTGGACACACCACAGCTGGGACGGTAGCAGGTGGTCTGGCAGCAGCTGGGGGGACAACAGGTCTCCTGGCAGAGACTTTGGCCACAGCTCTGGTCAGAGCAGACAGAGCCACAACAGGAGCTGACCATGGTGTCAGAGGGTGGAGGTTCTGGGTGGGTTTCCAGGAGAGTGAATTTCAAGAGTTTGGAAGCCTCCTTGTGTCATAGTCTCTTAAGTACTTCCAGAACAGGGTGAGTTGTCAAAATGTTTTCCTTTTTTTTTGTTTACATAACATTTAAGTAATTATCGGAATATACAATTACGGTTGCCTATTTAATGACTTAACCTTACTGGAAACAAAATTTGTTTTCTGGATACAGTAAATTCTATCCAATCTGCTTTTCTTTCTGATTCAGACCCACTGGCATCTTCTAGCCCACACTCTTGTCATTGTCCTCCACAGAGGGTTGTCACGTGGCATTTGGCGTCTGGAATTACATTTCTTCCTCTCCCCACCATGTTTCCACCAGGACGGGATTTGGGAAGTCTTATTTCTTGTTGTACATTACTTCCCATGACCAATGGGAAAGAAATCCCATCTGCACAGCATGGCGCCTGGCATGGGACATGAGGAAAAAGCCCTGTTCTGTGGGTCATTTTTGAGCAGTGGTGAAGGGATAGTTCTATGTGTATGACACTGATGAACTCTATGCCACTGGAATGGATTTTCTTGGATGCTTCAAACTTTGGATCTTGTTTGATATTCTAAAACCCTGGCAGATAATTTATGGATCCTGCTACTACCGGGTCACATTGTTGATTAAGTTGTTTTTTTTTTTCATTTATTTTTATTAGTTGGAGGCTAATTACTTTACAATATTGTAGTGGTTTTTGCCATACATTGGCATGAATCAGCCATGGATCCACACGTGTTCCCCATCCTGAATCCCCCTCCCACCTCCCTCCCCATCCCATCCCTCTGGGTCATCCCAGTGCACCAGCCCTGAGCACCCAGCCTCATGCATCGAACCTGGACTGACGATCTGTTTCACACTTGATAATATTCATGTTTCGATGCTGTTCTCTCAGATCATCCCACCCTCACCTTCTCCCATAGAGTCCAAAAGTCTGTTCTATACATCTGTGTCTCTTTTGCTGTCTTGCATATAGGGTTATCATTACCATCTTTCTAAATTCCATATATATGCGTTAGTATACTGTATTGGTGTTTATCTTTCTGGCTTACTTCACTCTGCATAATGGGCTCCAGTTTCATCCATCTCATTAGAACTGATTCAAATGTATTCTCTTTAATGTCTGAGTAATATTCCATGGTATATATGTACCACAGCTTCCTTATCCATTCGTCTGCTGTTGGGCATCTAGGTTGCTTCCATGTCCTGGCTATTATAAACAGTACTGCGATGAACATTGGGGTGCACGTATCTCTTTCAGATCTGGTTTCCTTGGTGTGTATGCCCAGGAGTGGGATTGCTGGGTCATATGGCAGTTCTATTTCCAATTTTTTAAGGAATCTCCACACTGTTCTCCATAGTGGCTGTACTAGTTTGCATTCCCACCAACAGTGTAAGAGGGTTTGCTTTTCTCCACACCCTCTCCAGCATTTATTGCTTGTAGACTTTTGGATAGCAGCCATCCTGACTGGCGTGTAGTGGTACCTTGTTGTGGTTTTGATTTGCATTTCTCTGATAATGAGTGATGTTGAGCATCTTTTCATGTGTTTGTTAGCCATCTGTATGTCTTCCTTGGAGAAATGTCTGTTTAGTTCTTTGGCCCATTTTTTGATTGGGTCATTTATTTTTCAGGAATTGAGCTGCAGCAGTTGCTTGTATATTTGTGAGATTAGTCCTTTGTCTGTTGCTTCGTTTGCTATTATTTTCTCCCAATCTGAGGGCTGTCTTTTCACCTTGCTTATAGTTTCCTTTGTTGTGCAAAAGCTTTTAAGTTTCATTAGGTGCCATTTGTTTATTTTTGCTTTCATTTCCAATATTCTGGGAGGTAGGTCATAGAGGATCCTGCTGTGATTTATGTCGGAGAGTGTTTTGCCTATGTTCTCTTCTAAGAGTTTTATAGTTTTTGGTCTTACATTTAGATCTTTAATCCATTTTGAGTTTATTTTTGTGTATGGTGTTAGTAAGTGTTCTAGTTTCATTCTTTTCCAAGTGGTTGACCAGTTTTCCCAGCATCACTTGTTAAAGAGGTTGTCTTTTTTCCATTGTATATCCTTGTCTCCTTTGTCAAAGATAAGGTGTCCATAGGTATGTGGATGTATCTCTGGGCTTTCTATTTTGTTCCATTGATCTATATTTCTGTCTTTGTGCCAGTACCATACTGTCTTGATGACTGTGGCTTTGTAGTAGAGCCTTAAGTCAGGCAGGTTGATTCCTCCAGTTCCATTCTTCTTTCTCAAGATTGCTTTGGCTATTCAGGGTTTTTTGTATTTCCATACACATTGTGAAACTATTTGTTCTAGTTCTGTGAAAAAATACTGTTGGAAGCAACTTAGATGCACATCAGCAGATGAATGGATATGGAAGCTATAGTACATATACACAATGGAATATTACTCAGCCATTAAAAAGAATTCATTTGAATCAGTTCTAATGAGGTGGATGAAACTGGAGCCCATTATACAGAGTGAAGTAAGCCAGAAAGATAAACACCAATACAGTATACTAACACATATATATGGAATTTAGAAAGATGGTAATGATAACCCTATATGCAAAACAGAAAAAGAGACACAGATGTACAGAACAGACTTTGGGACTCTGTGGGAGAAAGCGAGGGTGGGATGTTCTGAGAGAACAGCACTGAAACAAGTATACTATCAAGGGTGAAACAGACCACCAGCCCAGGTTGGATGCATGAGACAAGTGCTCAGGGCTGGTGCACTGGGAAGACCTAGAGGGATGGGATGGGGAGGGAGGCGGGAGAGGGGATTGGGATGGGGAACACATGTAAATCCATGGCTGATTCATGTCAGTGTATGGCAAAAACCACTACAATATTGTAAAGTAATTAGCCTCCAATTAATAAAAATAAATGGAAAAAAAAAGAAAATTTGGTAGGAAACAAATATATAATTGGAATGTATTGGTTGACAGATTTCAGAGAAAATTGATACTTTGTGCTTGTTTAGCAGAGAGAAAATATCATGATGGAGAGGGCGCAATATATTTGGAGGCCAAATTCAGTATAAGAATCTGTTAGAACTGAGGTTTGGCAGTTGGCCTCTCATGGTTCAGCTAATACTTGGACATCAGGTTGGTTGATGGTGCAGGACAGGACGTTCAGCAGCAAGAACCCCTAAAGCAGACTTGGTGGCAGCAGGTGGTCTTACAGCATCTGGGGTGGTAGCAGCTAGAGATACAGCATGTGGGCCCGAAGCAGCTGGAGATACAGCAGCTGGGTGACAGCAGGTGGTCCTGCAGCAGGTGGGGTGGCAGCAGACAGGGTGGCAGCAGCTGGACACACCACAGGGGGGGCTGCAGGTGGTTGTGAAGCAGGTGGTCTGGCAGCAGCTGGGGGGGGGGGGCGCGGGTAGCAGGTTTCCTGGCAGAGACCTTGGCCACAGCTCTGGTCAGAGCAGATGGAACCCCAATGAGAGTTGACCATGGGGTCAGAGGGTAGAGGTTCTGGGACGATTTTCAGAAGAGTATATTTCTTGAATCTGAATGCCTTCTTGCTCCAGGTCCCATTTTATACTCTGCTGAAGGAGCTCTTTTCTTGTTATTGTTTGTCCTAATAAGTGAGCAATATTAAATTAAGCAATTATGTTTTCAAAATTGGATGGGAAACAGTTTCCTATTTCTGATGGATTAATATTTACCTCCAATACTTTGGCCACCTCATGTGAAGAGTTGACTCATTGGAAAAGACCCTGATGCTGGGAGGGATTGGGGGCAGGAGGAGAAGGGAACGACAGAGGATGAGACGGCTGGATGGCATCACCAACTCGATGGGCATGGGTTTGAGTAAACTCCGGGAGTTTGTGATGGACAGGGAGGCCTGGCGTGCTGCAATTCACGCGAAGAGTTGGGCACGAGTGAGTGACTGAACTGAACTGAACTGACTGAATATTTACCTCAGTGACCCTTCCTGCATCATATTTGGTTGTCTTCCTTTGCTACAGATACTGGTTAAACATTCTAAGCTGAATATGCTGACTCTCACCTATCTGCTTTTTGCTCCTGAATTATTATCTTGTCATTCCTTCCTTGCAGAAATCATCTATGTTTACAGATACTGTAGTTCTTTCCACAAAGCATTGTCATATGAACTTTCACCTGGAGTAGTCCAGGTGTCACCCTTCCACATCTGTGGATCTTACCATGCTCACAACTTTTGTAGCATTCCTTATGGGGAGGAAAAAGATTTAGTTGTACATTCAGTTCAAATGGAAATCTCAGAAGATGGAATCTTAAGATGAGTTTCCCTGGTGACTCAGATGGTTAAGAAATCCACCTGCAATGTGGGAGACCTCGGTTCAATCACTGGGTTCAGTCGCTGGGTGGGTTGGGAAGATCCCCTGGAGAAGGGAAAGTACTCCAGTATTCTTGCCTGGAGAATTCCATGGACAGAGGAGCCTGGTGGACTACAGTTCATGGGGTCACAAAGAGTCAGACATGACTGAGCGACTTGTAGGTAAGATGAGAAGTTAGGGTAAAATTTTTATCAGTGTGGTCAGTTCTACACAGAATTGGTCACTGTATAGATAGGAGAAACCCAGGACACACAAACTGTGTTCTCATCTCATTTCCTGGACTTAAAACGTTGGCAGATTTTTTTGTTTGTTTGTTTGCTTTCAAAGAACAACATATACAAATATCATAAGACATTGCTTATATATGAAATCTTAAAAAGAGTACAAATGAACTTATCTTCAAAACACAGAGTCACAGATGTTGGAAATAAACTTAGGGTCACCCAGGGGTAGGGGTGGATAGATTAGGAGATTGGGGTTGATATATTCACACTACTA